CCAGGAAATTCCCAACCAAGACCTGCCAATCCTACCTTTGAGACTTCAGAAGTTCATGGACTTTTCCTTCAAGAGCACACAAGAGAATTTGTGTGTTTCTGTATGATGTAGTGGGTAGAGGAATGGGCTAGAATCTGGGAGAGCCAGGTTTGAATCCTGCATTCTGCTGTGGACTCTCACTGGGTGACCTCGGGCTGGCCGGGCACTCTTGGCCTGACCTACCTTGCAGGGTTGTTGTGAGGATAAAATGGAGGAGAGGAGAAGGATGCGAGCTACTTGGGATCCCCCACTGGGGCGAAAGTTGGGATGTAGGTAAATTAAGTAAATAAAATACCACAGAACAACACAAGCTTTTAAATTCTGCAGAACAGAACGGACAATTGAACAAATATCGACTTATTTTAGTATAAGCAGGGAAAAGGCACTAAAACTACCTGCTTTCTCCCTTGCATCCATAGTCACTTTTTTGGTTTTTTTAAAGGTTTTTATTGAAAATTTAACATCAGATACAGTGACAAACTGTCATAAACATACGAGATAATAGTAAATAATCAAGTGGTTAAGACGCTGAACTGCAGGCTGTGGAAGGTCGGTAATTCAGCAGTTCGAGACCTGAGTGTGCCGCATGACGGAGTGAGCTCCCGTCTCTAGTTCCAGCTCCTGCTAACCTAGCAGTTCGAAAGCAAGAAATTGCAAGTAGATAAATAGGTACCACTTCGGTGGGAAGGTAACAGCGTTCCGTGCACCTTGGTGTTTAGTCATGCCGGCCACATGACCACGGAAATGTCTTTGGACAGCGCTGGCTCTTCGGCTTAGAAACGGAGATGAGCACCGCAACCCTAGAGTCTGACTCGACTGGCCTTCGAGCAAGGGAACCTTTACCTTTACTATCAATCAATTAACATGGTAGAATGTCTATAACACCGTTCTGATTAGAATAGTCTTTTTTTGGAGCAATAAAAATTTAAAACAGGGTGCCAACAGTTATAATAATCAAAAGAGGCAGAGTCAGGGTCTTTAGTTAAGGTTTGCATCAGTATCCATAGTCACTTGGAGACCAGCTCTGTGCTGCTCTTCTTGTTTTTCGTCCACGTTTCTTTCCCCACCTGGCACCTCTTGGGGAAGAATATCGTGCTGCATGTTTTAAAGTGGACTGCTGAATGCAAATGGACTAGCTTTATTTTTTTTAAAAAAAATTAAGGTTGGGCTTCTTGGGATGTCGGATACTGTGCCAGGTTGCACTTGCAGCTGCTGGATGACCTTGGGCAAGCCATAGTTCTGGCACAGCTAAAAAAGAGCAGTTTCTGTCAGAGTTCTCTCAGCCCCACCTACCTCACAGGGTGTCTGTTGCGGGGAGGGGGAGGGAAAGGAGTTTGTAAGCCACTCTGAGACACCTTTGGGTAGTGAAGGGCAGGGTATAAATACAATCTCTTCTCCTCCTCCTCTTCCTCTTCTTCTTCTGTTTCTGCCAGAGCTCTCTCAGCCCCACCTGCCTCACAGGGTGTCTGTTGTGGGGAGGGGAAGGGGAAGGAGTTTGTAAGCCGCTCTGAGAGTCCTTTGGGTAGTGAAGGACGGGGTATAAATCCAATCTCTTCTTCTCCTCCTCCTTCTCCTCCTCCTCCTCCTCCTCTTCCTCCTCCATTGGGAGGAGATGTGGCTCAGTTAGAGCCAGAAAACTGAATCCTCAGGGTCTCCAGTTGAGGGTGTGGAGATAGGAGCTGCTAAGAAGAACTTTTCTCTTCCTGGAGAGCCTCTGCTTGCCAGAATAGTCTTATCTTGAGCTAGGTAGACCAGTGGCGTGCCCCTGTGCAAAACCACATCATATAGTTATATATTTAGCTGTCCTCCATGATGTTTTCCCCAGTTCTGTTCCATTCCCCCCCCCAAATAAAAACCAAACAAAAAGATGGTCACAAGATAAATTTACATGAAGGATGGTCAGCTGTTGGCCCATAGACTAGATCTTACCACTGAAGCAATTCCACTTGGTCCTGCTTTACTTTTAATTGAGATGTATGCAAAAAAGGGGAGAGGGTAAAGGAACTGGTGTGGCTCAGTGGAAGAGTCTCTGCTTTGTGTGTAGAAGGTCCCAGGTTCAATCCCAAACATCTCTGTTTAAAAGGAAAAGGCAGCAGGTGTTGTGAATCAGGAACCCCCCCACCCCCCTCGAAGAACTCAGCTAGGCTGAGTAGATAATATTGATCTTGATGGACTAACGGTCTGATTCAGTATAAGCGGTTAAGAGCGCAGAAGAACCGGGTTTGATTCCCCGCTCCTCCACATGCAGCTGCTGGTGTGACCTTGGGTCAGCCACAAGTTCTCTCAGAGCTGTTCTCTCAGGAGCAGTCCTCAAAAGAGCTCTCTCAGCCCCACCTACCTCACAGGGTGTTTGTTGTGGGGAGGAGAAGGGGAAGGGAGGTTGTAAGCCGCTCTGAGACTCCTTTGGGTAGCGAAGGGTGGGGTATAAATCCAATCTCTGCTTCTTCAGGTGTGTGATCGTTTTTGAGAGGTAGTGTTGGACTCTGAGTTCAAATCCCCACTCTGCCACGCAGCTTGCCGGGGAACCTCAAGCCAGTTGCTCTGGTTTCAACCAATGCTCCCTCTAAGCTGTGGAGTCTTGTGAGCAAGAATTCTATTTTGTGAGCTACTGGCGTTAAAGTTGCGAGCGAGCGATTTGGCTGCTGCATAGATTAGTTTGCTTTGGAGCCCCATCCTTCCTGAGCAAAGATAAAAATGTGCGCGCTGGAAGCTAAAAAACTTTGAGCTAGCTCACACTAACTCAGCTTAGAGGGAACACTGGTTTCAACCTAGCCCACCCTGCAAGGTTGTTGTAAAACAGAGGAGGGGAGAACTGCACGAGGTGCTCTGGGCTCAGTTGGTGAAGGGTAGCATTAAAAAGGTGATAAGGAATTGGGCCCCTGGAGTTGTGCCCCTGGTTTTACTGAAAAGGAAATAGCCTTTCGACAGATGCAAGAGATTGCTTAATGCTACATCGCTGCCGGGCAGGGTGTCCGAGAGTTGGGCGCTCCCTAATCCTAAATTACAGTTCTCTCTTTAATTCCCGTGGGGTGTAGCCGTGTTCAGTCGGCTGCAGCAAAAATAAACACTAGCCTGAGTCTAAAGGAAGGTTTTCTTCCACTGCAAGCTTTTGCAGACTGTAGCCCGTTTTTATCAGCTGCTTGCTGTGAGACTTCCTGTTTTTAAAAACTGTCTTGTCTTCTGTTGTTTACATCACAGCCGTCCTAAAAAGTGTCTAGATGTTTTTTTAGAGCTGAGGTTGCAACACTGACTCTCCAGATCTCTAGTGCGAGCATTGTAAATTTTGATATGATAAACGTATGGAACGTATTAGCCACAATTGGAACACTCTGCCTGGGGCAGTGATGCTCTATTCTTGACGCTTGGGGGGGGGCGGGTAACAGTGGGAGGGCTTCTGGAATTCTGGCCCCGCTGGTTGACCTCCTGATGGCCCATGGGCTTTGGCCACTGTGTGACACAGAGTGTTGGACTGGATGGGCCATTGGCCTGATCCAGCACGGCTTCTCTTCTGTTCTTATGTCTGGGGCAGTGATGCCCTGTATTCTTGGTGCTTGGAGGGCAACAGTGGGAGGGCTTCTGGAGTTCTGGCCCAGCTGGTGGACTTCCTGATCGCACCTGGGTTTTGGCCACTGTGTGAGACAGAGTGTTGGACTGGATGGGCAGTTGGCCTGATCCAACATGGCTTCCCTTATTTTTTTTTTATTTTTTTTATTTTAGACACTTTTACCCCACCCTCCCCGCAAGCGGGCTCAGGGCGGCTCACAGGGGCATAAGCCCATACATAAATACAATAAAATCCGATAAAATCATATAAAATCACAAATCACAAATACAACCAATAAAATCCTAATAAGAATAAAGTGCTTAAGTTTCCAAGATGGTCTGAAGTTATTACTATCGTCCAGTAAATAGTCCGCGCCAGTCGGCTGGTCTTGCTGCCGTGTGGTTCACCTGGCTGCCGAGATATCGCAGGGCACTTCCGGTCAGATGGTATCTCCACCGTTGTTGGTGGTGGAGAGAGCGGCGGCCCCTACATGAAAGCCTGGCGGAAGAGCTCCGTTTTGCAGGCCCTGCGGGACTGCATAAGGTCCCGCAGGGCCCTGATCTCCTCCGGGAGCTCATTCCACCAGGTAGGGGCCGCCACTGAGAAGGATCTAACCCTTGTTGCAGCATACTGTACCTCTCGGGGGCCCGGAACCACCAAACGGTTCTGGGTCCCTGACCGAAGTGCTCTTGGGAGTATGTATGGGGAAAGGCGGTCCCTCAGGTAGGTATGTTCTCTTAAGTGGTTTGAAATCACAAGATCAAGTCGGTATTTGGTAGAAATCAATAGCTCACGATTAGGTAGCTTTATTGAGCCTCCTTAGGATGTGCTGGTACAGTTGGCACAGGGTAGAAGAAGAAGCCTTTTTTAAAAAAGTAGAGAAACTACTTTGATAGGGAGGGTTTGCCATGAGGACTAGAAACCAGTGTTGAGAAAAAAGCTAAAATTCTCAGATCACATGCTTGTGTGATGGAATGGCGGGTTATTTGGAATATACGCGAGCCTGAAGGCTCTTCCACATATACTGAATAATGCGCGTTTGACCACTTTCAATCCATTTTTCGACTGGATTTTACTGCGTGGAATAGCAAAATCCGCTTGCAAACGATCATGAAAACGCATCGAATTTGCGTGATTCAGCCTGTATGAAAGCCCCCTGATGGGCCTTTTGTGTGATGGGTGGGTGGGCTGGCTTGCAGAGTTGGGAAAGACCCTGGGGACCTGGAGACCCATACCCAGTCTACACAGACCGACTTGGTAGAAGGTGACTTTCCTTGGGGTCCTGGAACGCCTCAGTTATTCTCCGGTTGTCTGACTGATCTGGAAGTGGGAGGGGGACTTCCAAAGGGACTAGAAAGAGACCTCAGGGATTGAGGATTGGAAGGTCTGCCTCTGTCCTCATTCCCCCCCCCCCCAGCTTGCCCAGAAGTACGACCCTCAGAAGGAATCTGAGCTGCGAGTATGGATCGAAGGCATCACCGGCAGGGGGATCGGGCCCGACTTCCAGAAGGGCCTGAAGGACGGCGTCATCCTTTGCGAGTGAGTGAGCTGCCGAAGGGCAGCGCTCCGTCTATGAATGTCAGCTGCTTAATGGGCCCTTTGTAGGACCAGCAACAAACATCAATTTAAACTTCAGTGTAACCACAAAAGGAAACTTCCCCCTTTAGAAGACTTTCAAGCAAGGAGAAGCGGGTGTACAATTCTAGAAACTCCCCGTTGGGGTTGATTGTGTAAAAAGGATGTAAACTGATTGGTAGCTGTGTACAAACTGATTATGATTGTTGATATAGCATGGAATGAATATATACCTGTTTTAGAATATTATGAATAATACACAATGCGCTTTATAAGATGGAACATATAGAACACTTTAACTTATAAAAAAAGGTTTTTTTGCAGTGTATATATGTGTTGTTTGACTCACCTGGAGGTTGGCAACTGTATTTCTGCCCCATCAGTGTTATTTTCAAAGGCTCTTTCTGCATAGAATGATAGCTTTAAAAAACCTTTTTCCTCTGTAACATGCCTAGGAGGGTTAAATGCTGGGGCTGACCCTTTGCCAGGTAGATGACTTTTACAATGACGTGGCATTGATGCAGACCCCCACTTCCCCCCTTCCCCCCCTGCAGGCAGTCAGGTCGGCTGCAGCCAGGTTCTGTGAAGAAAATTAACCATTCAGCTCTCAACTGGCATCAGGTAGGTATATATGATGCACGGGAGAGAAGGCCAGGGGGAGATAAAGAAGTCGTGAAGAGTCAGGGACAAGGAACTAATACTGGGACATACTGGGCAGAGGTTGTGGCTTGGTGGCTGAGCCCTCCCCAAGGTCCCAGACTGAGTCCCTGACATCCCTAGTTAAAGGAACTCGGGGAGCAGATGTTAGGGAAGATGTTTCTCCAGGCCTGTAGCCAGGATTTTGTGGGTTGTGGGGCAATTTTTTTTCCTGGTGGGGCTGAACTTCTCAGTGCAGAGAGAAAAGCCATTTAGCCACTAGAAAGCTGTTACCAGGATAGATCTCTGAATTGCAAGCTGTCAACCATTTTAGATGACAGTTCTCAGCCGCTGCAAGTTAATCACTTCTGCCAGCCTAAGCAACAGTTCTGATAGCAAGCCGGCAGGTGGGAGTGATGGCATCTGTAATCAAGAAAGCTAACACTTAGGCAGAAAAACTCTCTTAAAGGGGACCAGTTTTTGGACACAGAAGGGATCCTAGAGGTCACCTACTCCAACCCCCTTGCTCAGTGCAGGAATTAGTCAACTACAGCACCCCACTCTGCTTAAAGGAATGCATGCCTTTAAAAAAATCTTTTAAAATTACTGAAAAAAGCATTTACAGGAGAAATCCTTGTGGGGCTGTGCCTTTAAGAATGGGGGTGGAGCCCTCAAAAGCCCTAGTGGCCTGTGTTTCTCTGCCTGAGACCTTGGAGGGGGGCTGCTTGAGCAGGTTCTATTGGGGAGGTTTCCAGCTCTGGCTTGGGAAGTTTCTAAAGATTTGGAAGCAGTGTCTGGAGAGGGAGCTCGGCAGGGGTGTGATGTTACTAGGACTTCTGTTTCTCTTAGACTCTATAGACTCTGTGGTATACCATAGAGTCCACCTCCAAAGCTGTCCTTTCCTCTTGGGGTCTGATCTCTGTAGACTGGAGATCAGCTGCAATTCTGGGAGGACTTCGGGCTGCATCTTGAGTTTGGTAAGCCCAGGGGTCATTTCGTAGAAAAAGGGGTGCAGGAGCTCATTGGCACAACTCATTAGCATAACTCATTTGCATATGCCACACCCCCTGACATCACCAGAAGTGTGTCAGAAGGCAACACCCAACGCTCAGGCTCCACTGGACTGTTTTGGATTGCTAGCTATTGGGGGGGGCGAGGAACGTGCACATCTGTCCTCGCAGAGGAGGGAGAGCTGGTACCTGAATAAAACTTGGTCTTAAAGGTGCCACTGGACTGTTTTGGACTGGGGGGCCGGGCGAAGCTCTGCAGCTTACCTGGCTGCTTCTTGCTCTGACTGAGGGCTGCTGGGAGCAGGGGGTGGGGCTTGTTGCATGTGCCCCGCCCCCTGGGCTCTTTACTGCCGGAGCTCCGCTCCTGTGCGCTCCCGCAGGAAATGATCCCTTGGTAAGCCTAGATACACAGCTACATGAGTTAGTGGTCTTCAGTATGAGGGAGTGTCGTGCATTCATATTCTGCCACTTTATGAGTCCCAGTGCTGTCTTGGTGGCCCCCTGTTTGTCTCTTGCCTTGAAAACCCCGTGGCCCTGGGGTTCCTCTAAGCCGACTGTGACTTGACGGCAGGCTGTTCTTATTTCTCCCCTCCTTCCTTCTCAGCTAGAGAACCTCTCCAATTTCATCAAGGCCATGATCACCTATGGCTTGAAGCCGGTTGACCTGTTTGAAGCCAACGATCTCTACGAGAGCGGGAACATGACGCAAGTCCAGGTTTCACTGCTGGCTCTGGCGGGGATGGTGAGCAAGCCGGGGTGTTGGGTCTCCGGGGAGGTCCTTCTACGGCCGTCTCCTCTGCCACGGATTCTAAGGAGCTGCTAATTTCTCATCCTCTTCCTGTCAAAGCCTACCTTACGGGGTTGTTGTTAACATCGCTGGAATAATGAGAGGGTGAAGCTGCCAGTTCCCTTGGCTAGCGCAGGTTACTCAGCCTTGCATTGATGGGGGCTCCTTCCATCTTTGCTGTTCCCTCTCTCTGAAGAAACTTAAGAAAAACCAAATCCTTTTCTTCTTCCTTCCTATATGTTATCCTCTTTTCTCCCCCCCCCCTTTGGAGGTTGAGCATTGCCGGGCTGGTTGCTCTCTTAATGGGAGGGGGATCTCACAGACCGCCTTCCATGGCATTAAGAGAGGATAGCAATGGATTTCTCTCCACTCCAGAGATAGAGACTGTGGCGGTGGCCGACGTTCAACCAGCAGAGCAAGGTGAAGATGGCATTCCAAAGCACGGCAAACAGCTGCACACCCCTACAGCATTTACGGAGCCTGTGCCAGCCTCAGCAGCCATTTTGGAGTCCACTGGCCATTCTATCCTTTAAGATGGGAATGGCGAGTAGAGCCTAATCCCGCACATGGCGCATCCCAAGACCTATGGTTCAAGGGGGTTCATCGAGCTAGGTGTGATTGTGCCGATAATGCTCAAGGGGACGAGGAAGATTATGAGTTGCAGAGCGGTAATGTTCACAATCCCCGGTCTGTCCCCTTATTTCCAAATGTAATGGCCTTCTTTATAAGAGCCATGGGGGAGGAAATAGTGCATTTCTGCAGATCAGGGGGTCATGGGGCTACTATGTCCTCCCCCTCTCCTTGGAGGCACAAGAACAGAGTCAGCTGTCCCATCA